CAACATAGGCTCACCCTAAATCATGTCCTGATGTATTGTCTTTGCGGACTCTAATGAGGACCATTGTTTATAAAATGTAGATCATGCTGTTATTGAAGAAAACTCTAAGGTAGCGATAGAGCCCATAAACCAATCACTGAGGAAGTTGATGGCCATTTTTTCATAGGCATGCATACAACCTGAGGAGTCCCCCCCCCCCCCCCCCTGCTGGCCATTTGAAAGAATGCAAGATTCACACACTTTGGCATTACCACAGCCATCTTTTATATTCAATCTATGCATAAAAGTTATATAGTGTATATGCTGATCATATATTGGTAGTCAGATAGTTTTTACTATTATATGTATGCAGACATTAAAAAGAAATTCTCACATGACTATATCTTTTTTTTCTTTTTTAATTTTTGTTATTTAGATTTATTTTATCATATTTTTATTAATCCAATGGCGAGTCTGTTCTAGTCTGTTCTTCTAATAAACAGGTTAACTGGCTAGTTTATTATGACAATTATGAGGGAAAGAGTTTTCTTTTTTTTTTAATCTTGTTTTTCTATCTATAAAACAAGGGGCAGCTAATGTAACTGTTGGGGCTTCTTTCATGACGTTTTGACTGCCATGTCTCTATTGAAATGGTGCCCGACCGATCTTGAATTTGCTTATTAGCACTGCCGGCAGGACTCAACCCATGGTGATTCAAAGAGCCGCGGACAATATGAATCATTCAATCAAATGGCACCATGTTGAGACACTGCCCCTCAAGTGCTGATTAGACAAAAATAAAAGATGGCTGAGCGAACATCAGTGCAATGTATGGAGATAGATCCACTCTTTTATGACGTGCTTTATCAAAACAGCACAAAACTCCACAGGGAACTTCTGCAGTTCTGGGAAAACGGCGAATCTTTGGAGGCTCTGGACACAAATCATGCTGCTGTAACATGAAGTCACGGTCTTTGTCTTGGTGTCCTTTACAGTTCACTTCCTTGGTTATTTTGAAGGTTTTCCTGTGTTTTTACATCCTTACTTTTTCTTTTTCCCACTCTTTCAGTGTCATACACAGAGTTGAAACATCTTAATATCCCTTTCTCCTTGATGTGGATTTAGTCTATGCTTGTTTTAATCATTTTTGCCATTTTTCTGTTCAGCCCTCATCACATATCTAATAAAATAATTTTAGCAGCACATGTCAGAGTCGAACCTTATCCATAACGGTAGATTTGGATTTCATTTGTGTTTTCTAACATCACTGCCACAATTCAGATCTATGGGATACCTCCTCACAAAGCAGGTGCCATTCTTTCATCGCATGCTTGTGATGAAACAGAGTTTGGTGAACCAGACTTACTCCCTGAGTTAAGCTCCACAGGATTTCAGCAGCTGACTGGTATCTTCAGACGTTAGAGGCAACCGCAACGCTACACCACTGCTGCTACTACTACTGAAACCCTGGTCACATGTGATGGCTTCAAAAAAATCCCATGCAGCTGAGTGGAAACACCTGAAGGAACCCTGCCAGATAAATTTAGCGCCAGTAAAGCACGCTCCAGCGCTCTTTCTTACAGTTAAGCGATCAGCTGTGAGGGGGCCCGGGGGCGAACGGTGTAGAGAGATGCCAGTTTTTGGTTGCGAGTTAATTGAAGAGCATTGATTGAGAAGAAGGCCTCCTCATTATCTCTTAACAGAGCTCCTGTTTCATTAATCAATGTCTACTTGATTCAAGCTCGCCAGTTTATCGCCATTGTTTCCAAGCAACAATAAAGAGACGCTCGTAACCAACACACTCTTCAAAATCAGCGCTTCACTTTCATCTCTCCTTGTTTCCCTTTCCCTTCTCTCTCTCTCTCTGTCATGTTTCCCTCTAAGTGCTGTCTTTCACTGTCTCTGAAATCACTCACCACCACTTCTTGTCTGTCCTCTGCTTTAGCTGAACACTAATGGTAGTCTTTCTTTTTTCTCTCCTCCTGCTTCCCTTTATTCATAGTAATTGTCTTTATCCAATTCATCCTGTTTCTGTCCGTCACATACTGTTCCGGCAGAGCACAGGCCCTACGCAACATGAAACTAAATATCATCATTATATTACTGGAACTCCTCCAATTATGCCTTCATGACCCAACATCAAAACCTGTTATTATCTCTATTATGTTAATGCAAATGTAAGGCAACCCAGTTTGTTTTCAGCCTTCTCCGTTTGGCCTCTAAAGCTGGAACACCCTGCTGATAAAGAAATACAGACCACATCCTTCAGTCTCCAACATCCCTGAGTACCTATTTGGTACTATTTGGTGCTCAGGAAGCAGCACCTCAGGCTTATAGACATACAGCTTCCCCAGATTGCTGTTTACTGATTACTCAGTGCTAGTTGGACGTTTTCTTTCCACCACTCAGCATTACAACAAATGGCCTAAATCCTCCATCACTAAGCTAGGCTATACATTTTATTATAAATAAAATAATGAATAAATTATTATAAATAATAACATAAATAATAATTATTTGATTATTATTGTTACTGACACCATGAGAAAGAACAAGGTGCTGATAGAGATCTTGTAGATATAGTAGTGGCCGTTACAGTGGTTAAATTGATTGCCATTAGGTAGAGGTACCTGAAGCAGCCATATAAGCTGCTTCTAAAGTGGAAAATCTCTAAAAACAAACAAACAAAACAGATCTAAAAGTAGCTTATTCTTTCAAGAGGAAATAGTCTGAAATTCCTACAAGAAACAGGAACCATTTGGGGAAGTCGATTTTTCTACCTGTTTCAAACTAAATCTTAATCATATTTTGTTTCAGGCAGTTCTGCTTTCAGGAGGTTTACGAGCATCTGACTTGGAGCTTGTGATGCTGAAATAGCTGATTGTGAAAACAGAAACAACCAATAATAACAAAATAAAAGAATAAGTGCTGGAGGAACTTGTACCTGTTGGGAAAACAATCAACTTGAGCAATTAAATTAATTCTTGAAAAATTAAGTTTCCTGAAACTTTTTGTGGACCTATAGTAAACCAGTAAGCATCCTGGTTCATTTCAACATCTTATATGCCTAATTTTCCCATTTTTGTGGTTACTGGCAGTCTAACATGGAGTGTAAGTGGGGAAAAGGCTATGCACAAAACATGAATTATGAGTCTTTCTAGATGGAAGTCTCAGGTCTGTTTGGAAGTGCTTATCTCATTAGATCCCACACTAGGGATCACAGCCTGGAGAAAACTTACTAGATGACCAAATTACCAGCGTATTAACATTAATTTGTTTACATGGAAACAAAAATTGTTTCTTTCCACGTCTTGAAATTAGCTAGACACAACCTCACATGAACTACAAAACATTGCATATTACACTGTGTCACTATTATTTCAGCATGTGAAAACATAAAGTATAATCTCAGTTACAAAAACGTTGGGACATTGAGTAAAGTGTAAATAAATACAAAATGCAACGCCTTAAAAATCTCACATATCCATATTTGATTCGAAATGGGATACCTAAGGCATATCGAACATTTAAATGAACAGATTTGACTATTTCATGAAAAATATTAGCATGAAACAAGTTCAGGAACATTTTTACACTGATTGGTTACTTGTGTAAAAAGTTGAAAATGTATTAAAAGATCATCTGAGAGAGCCAGTGATTCTCAGAAGTGTAGACAATTGCAGATTAATACACCACTGTCCAGACTCCTAAATTTGCAAAGATTTTGAATATCTCATCATCTCCAGTACATGACATCATCAAAAAGACTCAAAGAATCTGGAGGAATCTCTGTAAGCAAGGGACAAGGCCAATCCTGTATTGGATGTCCTTGACCTTCAGGCCTTCAGACAGCACTGACAGATGTGATCAGGAACACTTCCAGAAATCACTGTCTCTGAACACCCACGTATGCAGGTTAAAGCTCTGTCATGCAGAGAAGAAGCCATATGTGAACATGATTCAGAAACACTGCTGTCTTCTCTGACCCAAAACTCATTTAAAATGGACTGAAAGCAGAAAACTGCTTTGTGATCAGATCAATCCAAATCTAAAATTCTTTGTGGGAAACATGAACGGCGTATCCTCCAAACTAAAGAGGAGAGGGCCCTTGCTATGAGCATCTCTGGTGATACTGGGGTGCATTATTGCCTATCAAAAAGGTAGCTTGCACATCTGGAAAGGTATACACCAGGGGTCCCCAACTCCAGGCCTTGAGGGCCGGTGTCCTGCAGGTTTTAGATCTCACCCTGAGAACCTTCACAGACCTTTGTGTTAACGTTTGCTTATCACCGCCATCTGCCACCAGTACATAGAGCTTTGATCAGTAAATAGTAACAGAACAATTCTGATGAAAATCTCCAAAGTCCAAACAGTAATCTGGGGAAGCTATGTGTCTATAAGCCTCAGGTGCTGCTCCCTGAGTTTGAGTCACGAGGGGATAAACTATAAACACTGCCAGCGTATGGGCTCTGTGAAGTGTGTCGAAATCAGTTTCTTCCCTCACTGTCTTCATCTGCTCTTTTTAGTTTCCTTACTGTCACAGTAATAAACACAGATTGTTTCTCAGAATTTTACCCCTGTCATCCTCAGACCCTTCCCTTCTCTGCCGCTCTCCACATCATCCCATTCAACTGGTGGCATTTTCTTTCTCCTGCTTCCCTTTTGTTTCTCGCCACACCAGATTCTCCCAGCCTGTTGTTGGGCTTTTTCTTCTCTCTGTAGCAACAGCAGCATCCAGACTGAGAGAGGTTGTAAATCACAGCACTCTCTCCACTCTGTACCCATGCAGCAGACTCAGGCACTGCCAGGCATACTTGCAGGGAGGACGTCAATTCATCAGGCATGCAGGAAGTCAGTCTCTGAATGGCTTCAGTCAGTGAGCATCAGCGGTTAGTCTGAGCCTGGCTTCTCTTTCAGCATCAGTGTTGACATTAACTTAAGGTAATAGAGCACGACAGGAAAGAACAGAGGAAGTGTGCAGAAAGAAAAAGCATCATTCACACAGCAGACTAAGCGACTACCTGTCGGAGCGTCTTCAGCATCTCCGTGGCCTCATCCTGCTTGCCCTGTTTGGCCATCAGCATCATCTCCTGGATCATGCCGATGCGGCGCTGGTAGGGTGGTGGTGGCGTCCCGCTACGGCTCAGCCTGTCCCCTGACTTCAGCATGAGGGAGGCTAAGATGTCTCCCCGCTCCTTGGTGGGTGTCCGCTTCCAACTGTGCTGAGGACTCGCTCCTGCAGGCTCCTGGCCTTTAGCCTGCTTGGCACCCATGGTGCTGCCTCTTAATGTGAACTCTGGCAACAAAGAGATTGGTCTCACAGAGCAGTCATGCAGCGGCAGCTTTGATTCCTGTGTCAGACACCTGCTTCAGTAAAACGTCAGCAGCTCATCACGTCTCTGTGAAATGTGGAAAGTGTGCCTGCTCCCAGAGTACAGTACAACACTGCAGATACGCTGAGAAGGAGCGCTGGTAGTTTTGTGCTGTTACTCACAGGAGCTGGAGCTCATGTAGGGAACAGGTCTTTGGATGCTGCCTGCCGCATGGCCGCAGAGCGCGGACTCAGCAGAGTCAGGCTGCCGGAGATCCCCAGCAGTGAGTCTGCCTCAGCGACAGCCTCCTATCCCGGACCCAACTTCAGCACCAAATATTTACCCTCTCCTCCTCCTCCCGAGCTGTCCTCTAGAACACAGCGCTCTGTCCTGGAGCAGAGGAGGAGCAGCGGGCGGAGGATCGCTGCTGCATGAAGCAGGGCATGGCAGTGTTTACGTCTGCGGTGCTCCTCGTTCTGCCCTGTCCCTCCTCGGCCGCTGGAAGTCCCGCTGTACCTGCAACAAAAGCAGCGCTGGTCCTCCTCCCGGCCTCACTCTCCATCATTCGCAGGCAGGAAGCAGAAGTCGCATCCGCGCCTCGTCCTGCTGTGTGCAGGCTGCGGCTCAGCGGGCTTTGACAGAAGGGGCCGGACTGAGGCGTCCCCTCCCCGGGACCGAATTATGTATCGCACCCTCTGTTCGAGTGCACGGGGGCGCGCAGCGAGTGCACGTGACCGCAAGTCTTCCTTCCTCCTGGCGGGGTGATGAGGAGAGGCAGGAGGAGGGCCGGGAGGGTATGAGCACTGCCAAGTGTCTAGTTACACGGCGCTGACGCTCCGTCTCCGCGGGGGAGGTTTTTCTACCAGAGTCCATTCAAAATGTGTCGGCTTGTAGCTGCACTGCTCACAGGCAGAAATGGACAGGGTGTATCTGTCGAGATGAGTCATGCATTTTAAACTGTAGTCTTCTAAGAAAATCGGCCAACAGTGGACCTTGATTTAAGCATTTTGTATCTAACAATTTAAAAAAAATATTTTTTTGCGGAAATTGTAAACCACAACACCAACTTACAAGTTAATACCCGATTAGAGTAGATCTACTTTGTGCACTGCTCTGTGCAGTCACATTTATTTAAATCACACCTAAAGGGGCTTTAAATTGTAAAATAAAGAGCCCACAGAAAAAACCCCAACAATCACTTGGCGACAGTGGGAAAGAAAAACTCCGGTAGAACCAGGCTCAAGGCTGCACCTCCCTGAGCCCTGACACATAATTGGAGGGGTGCTCTTTTCTATACCCACGCTCATCGTGGTGAACAAAGAACTAAGAACACCTGACAGTAGTCAGGTGTTCTTAGCATCACATTTTTCTGCCCACATTTTATTTTTAAACCTGTTGCTAGAAGTTTAAGTGTCAGCCAAAATGATTTTCATATCAAAGCATTTTTTTTGAAAGTTTATTACAAGTTTTTGTGAAATCTAGTTTTAATTGATTTTGTTTTTTTAGTTAGTTGGGATAAACTAAAACACATACATGAGTGTTTTCTCCAAAAAAACAAATTGAAACAGCTGTCAGTTATTTATACTACCAGGGAAAGACCTGCACTGACATCTGGTGGCAGCTGTGTGGAACCATTACATCAATGTGGTTATATTTAGCATCCCTAATAATTGTGGTAAGGCCTTACTTTTCTTGAGCTAGATAGTGACTCTCTCAAATAGCCCTAGAGATGGGTCGGTGACCCCCTGGCAACCACCGGTTACTAGGACTCAGGTTTAAGCCAATTTTCCTGCCCACGTACAGGAAACAATTACACAAGTCTGATAGCTTCACACAAGCTCAAACTCAGCAGAAAGTCTGAATATTGTTCAAAAGGTGTATTTATTTTGCTTCTAATTACATCGGTATTTACAGTAGTATTTCAACCATCAAATCACTTTATCAAAGCAAAAAAAAAAAAAAGTTAGTTTCTTTCCTCATTTTACAACTTTTAGGCTCATAACTCTTTTACAAAGTCACAGTCAGCCTTGACGACACATCCACATGTGCACAGGATCAAGATGACGGTTTGGTTTTTGTAGGGCGCAGACGGTGGGAGGAAGGCGGACAGCTTGCACAGAAAACTCATCTTCTGGTAACATCATCGCTGATGACTCCACAGAGAGCTGCTTCTGTTCACAGTCAGTGGGGACCTGACCTGCCACCAGCAGGAGGAGAGTTCACAAGTCTTAGCCTTGTGACTTTTAGTTTTACTTAACATTGAACAAAAGTGGATGCATTTCAGAGTGTCTGAAGCACATTTAGAAATCAGATCTCCAAAAATCTACATCAATAACACACCATTAGTTATAGGCATTTATCCAATCACGGACACCTAAATGATCACACAAGTGAAGAATTCTAGAGTTTTTTTTACCCAAATTCTTCATCTGGAAATGTTTATGGCAGTTTTTATTTTTATCATCATCATCATCATCATCCCCCCCCCAGAAACAGCAGCATTAGAACAAATCTGGGTCAGGTTTAACGTTTTTCCTTTATGACTCGATTTTTGGCGTCCTGGGGAAGTTTTAGCCAACAGCAAATTAATACATGCAAAGCAGACAGACCACTCTGCACTAACTCAAGATAGTAACTGCTGACCACTTCTAAACTACCAAATACTGCTATGCTGCCATTTTGACTTTCTGTACTTTAGATTTATAGAGATGTGGTTTCATTTTTGACATTTCAGGGTGAGATATTTTTTAAATTTCCAGTTTGCTTCATTGTTGTGACACAGTAAATCTTATGTACTTTTACACTAACAGGCCCACACTTTGACACGTTCTCTGTCTCTTTAAGTGTCTAAAAAACCCAAAACAACAACAATTGGGGGAGAACGAAAAAGGGTTCAGGACAAGAGTACTGCATCATGTATAAAAATAAACTGGTCAATATTTCAGCTCGGCAGCAATAATTCACCTTCCAAACTCTCAGCTCTCTTCCACTTCACTGTGCTGATCTCCTCCAGTGCACAGGCTTGCAGATTGATTTTCTAGCCTAAATGAATTTAATGCTGGGGGGGGGGGGGGGGGGAGCAGAAAATAGGCAAGGTGGGCCTGCATTTAGATAATCTAGAAACTGCTAATAATTTCCCCTTTGCTTAGCTTTCCTGATGCTAGACTCAGGTTGAAGGCTGAAGCAATGTTACAAGTCAGGGGCAACTCTAGATAATGACACAAGCAGGACTGGCAGCGTATCCCGGGCTTGAGGGTGGTAGCACACACTTAAAATGTGTAGCCAGCAGGAGGCGCTTTGTCATCCTTGTTGCTCTCCAAGGAGAAGGGAGGAATGCGGACATCAAAGTGGGAACCATCAGTTCTTTCGATGCGAAACGTTCCCCTAAAACAACAATAATAAAAACACTAAGTGAGAAAAGCTGAAGATACTTTGGATTTTATAGCATGTGAAGAAAGAGGTAGATGTAGACTCACCACATATGACCACTTGGGGCTTGTAGAGACACGTGGCTGCTGTATTGGAAGGCTGGCTGTTCTTTAGACAACACCGGCTCCTGTTAGGTAAGTACAAAGAGCTGAGCATTTCTAAACAAACGCGACAGTCTCCTCCTCACAGCCAGGATGACAGTCTGTTCATTCAACTCTGGAATCAGATCAAAATACTAACAGACAAGCGGAGCCAAGGCATCTGTATCATATCAGAACTGGGGTCTTGAAAAAATTCATCATTCATACTCTGGTGTTGAGGCCTTTGCATCAGTCAGGCATGTTTATTTTTAATATGATATGTAATATTAGGGATGGGTATCGTTTAGGTTTTATCCGATACCGGTGCCAAATCGGTACTTTTGAAACGGTGCCGGTGCTCAAACGGTGCTCGAACCGGTGCTTAAAGAATGGAGAACACAAAATTGGTCCAAAAACCTCTCATGGTCAGCTGGTTTTTTGTAAAAAGATAACAATGTTAGCCTTTTCTGCAGCTATGGGGCATATATGGTATCACTCTTAGCTGGAAGCAGTGCTTAAACAATGGAAAAAAATACAAACTTTGTCCAAAAACCAAAAAAGTTTAGCTGTTTCCCTCTTTTTCTTTGGTCATTTTAGCCTTTTTGGCCAGGGTGAAGGGAGTATCTGCCATCAAACAAGAAGACAGCCACATGTAGCTATGATGATGTTTGCTAGTTCACCTTACATGCATTAATGTAATAACGTGGTTAGCCTACTCAACGTAAATTACACACGAACAACATTAAGCTACTCACGCAGAGAAGAACGGCTGCTGCTGCCATCAAATACGGCGCATTTCTCGGCTTTTAAAAAAAAAAAAAAAAAAAAAAAAAAACCGCTATGCGTCGCCAGGTGTTTCATCGGATTCGAGGTGTTACTTCCTTTGACAGTATCACAGTATCAGCTTAAAGCACTTGTTGCAGGCTGCTGAGTTTGCATATTTTGCTGTGAAGTACAGCCAGACTTTTGACCGCTTTGCCTTGGACATTTTTAATCTGTAGCTCTGCATAAAAGAACGTACGTACCTGGCCCCGCCTACTATCCTCGGAAACGTAAAAATGATTGGCTAGAAGTGTATCACAGCTCAGGAAAAAAAAGCACCGAAATAAAGCACCGAAATGTGCGCTGCTTTTCGGTCTGGTTACTACCGTTTATGTCAGAACCGGTGCCATCATGGCACCGGACACCGGTACCCATCCCTATGTAATATGCAATGTAATGATACGTAATGAAAGAATACAGTAAAAAAAAAAATTACATCTCAGATGTCCTTTAAGTGGACTATGTTTGGTTAAAGGACGTCTTATGAAGCATGAGATCAGAATTCTATAATCCAAATGTAAATCGCCGCTTGATTCATTTATTTGCTTAACTTGTTTTGGACCGTAAACAAGGCGCGAATGGGACACCGGAAACAAAGCTCCCCACAGGAGTTTCCGCACCGGAAGTAGCATATGCTAACGTGCACATAGTCTATTACATACCTCAGTGTCAAAAACAAGTAATATAATATAATATAATATATGGCATGCATGCATATATGGTGTGTAATATTACTAATGTAATAGTATTATCTTAGAAGGATTGTGTGTCATTGCTAATCGTGTCTGTCGTTCTGTGGCCGGCTGCGTTTGTCCAACTCCACATCTCGTTGCTGTCTGTGGTTCTGCTCGTGTTTGTAAGCATGCTCACCCTGCCTACGACACCTCGTCCTCGGACCGTCTCCAGAGTTCCTGATAGGCTGAAGATCCTCCAGTGTCTCTCTCTCAGCTGAACCACCTCGTTGCCCAAGTTCTCCAGACGGATACAGTAGCGCCACTGCAGGAAGACAACACAAACAGATTTGAGCTGTTTATTTCTGTGTTTCACTGTCTTTAATTTACATGATAAAATATAAAACTACTCACCCAATAAACATGAGAATTCTGGGCCTCCTAAGGACAACAAAGAATTAACCTTAGATTTCAAGCAAACTACAGAGGAGCATTTAAGCCTACAAATTAAAAAGAAACAGGCTGTAAGCCAACATCTTGCCAAGCACACCTAATAACACCAATGAAATGTGTTTGAGCTGTGAGGTGGTGGGGCTCAGGCTGTGCTGCAATAACAAATAATATATAAGTAATATCCGTAAAGATCCAGCTACCCTCATTCCCATGTAGAAGGGGATGACAGTGACTCTGATGTTCTCAGTTGTCTCTCTGTGGACGTCTGAGAGCTCCAGCCAGGGGTGGTTCTTCTCTTGCCATGCTTTAAGGGTGTCTCTGGCTGTGAATGGAGGAACTACAAAAACAAAAAACAATCCCATTAAAAATAGTCTGCTTCTTAGGCATTCTAGGTGGCCATTGAGTGGATCTTATAAGGATCGGAACCAAAAGTCAAACTACAAATGACAGTTTCACATAGGAGGGATAAACTTTAACATTACAAAACTTGCCACTCAAGCACTCAATCCTGCAGAAATTACCACCACCTTTATTCATGAAACTGCCCAGAGGATCGTCATGTTTACAAGATAAGACCTACATACATAAGATATGTAGGTCTGTCACAACTTTATGAAACAACAATGCTATGGAAGGAAACATGTCGACTACATCTGTTAGATATAGAAGAAACCTGTTGGACTTATACAAAACCACAGAGCTGAAAAAAGATCTGCGTTTACTTTTTGAAGGGTTGTACATGAGGAAGCGCTCAAACAGCTCATGCTGGATGGGGACCTGCTCTGTGGAGTTATAAGGCAGAATGTCTTCATGGCTCACATAGTCCAGACCTGAAGAGGAAAGCCAGAAACAGAACCATCATAACTACTAGAGCAGGGCGATACTAAAAATATTTATCACGATATACATTTGAAAATTTGCGATAACGATATAACTGACGATATAATTGACACTAGACAAAATACTTTACAACTCCACAACTTTATTAGTGCAAAATAAACCATCAATGTATTTTCACTTAAACAAGCAGCTGTTTTTTGCATTAAAGTTATATAAAAATGTAACAGTGCAAATGCAAATTCCTTGCTGACAGTTTAACCAAAAGGCATTTCCAGTGGACATTGCACCACTTGATGGGTTGTCAGAGCATTACGTCTATCGTAGGGAGGAGCCTCGCGGAGTGATACGTACTGTGCTTCAACATAATATTACCATATTGCATGTGTATAAGCTCTTTTTAAGTTTTGTGGATATTATACACTGTTATGCTGAGGATATGTCGGCCAATGTCCAGGGTTAGGGTCACTGTCGACTTTCAGAAAAATCAAAGGATTGATTTTAAGTGTGCCGTATTTTCCAAACAACACAGTAATAACGGCGGTCTGCTAGCATGCTCTACCAAAAATAGTGCTTTGTTGTGTATCTGATGGACGAAAGCTAAACCAGTTCCACACCACTGAAGTTGCAGCATTTTTACAAACCAATTCTGGTTCATCTGTTTCATTCAACGATCCGCTTTCGCCCTTGTCATTCTCCGTCGCCGCAGTGCCTTTTTCGCCATGTGCGTATGAAAACAAAGGCACAGCGCATGCGCGTTTTACCCATATTCTATCGCAACATTATACCGGTATTACCGTGACCGGTATGATATGGCCCAGCCCTAATAACTACCATTATCAAAAATGCTCTTTTCACAGAATTCAATATTTGAACATTTTGAGTAAATTACGTAATTTCCTCAGCACTGATAAAAGAACACCAGCTGCTTTTTTGCCCTTTTCTCTCTGACAGCAGGTTGGATGTGACTGTGTAAAAATAAGGTGTGCTCTATTCGGGCCAGACTCAAATTTAATGCTTAAAGTATGACCGCCAGTTTCTAATGCCAACTGTAAGACCCCAGGATAGACATCACCAGTAGGGGTGGGTTTTTATAATTGATTTATCGATTAAAATCGATTCTGGCTTGGATAACGTAAAATCAATTCATTAAAATCCTGAATCGATTTTTTAATATAAATTTATTTTGCCAGAATCTCTGGTGAAATCTCACAAAATTTCAATAACCACCAAACAGCTAAGACAGTAAATGAGAGCAGGAACACGGATTCTGCACAAAGACAAAACCCGTGGATCAGAATCAGTGAGATGTCGCCTTTCTCACAGTCGGGGCTGAAAGCCGACAGCTCGCTGATTCTGATCTGTCGGCGGGTCCGCGCTTTGTGTTCCCTTTATGTGCGGATTCTAAAGCTGTTAATTTGATGTCTCTCCAAACAATATTGACCGAACCAGCAGCAAAAGAAGATCCAAACTACGCTTCACATAAACATCGTCATGTATTCACTCTTACTTTTACTGTTTTGCTTCGACCACGATGCACAGCTCTCTCTCTCTGTCTGTCTGTACTTCAAGAACAGTTTCCTGTCTAAAAATCAGTTTTCTTCATTATTCGCTTGCTTGTTACGCACAAGTCTACCGTTGTGTACAGCGCTGTCGGCTGACATTTTTTTTTCGTTTTATATACTTCCGAAAAGAAAACCTAATTTCTGCCGTTCAATACTGAACAAATTTAAACTTTTTAAAATTATGCAAAATGCAAAACGCTTAGCCGTGTCTCTAATAAAACCGCTGTAACTTCCGAGGTAATGTTCATGTGTTGATTAATGGTTTTCTTTCGTTTTTGATCTACTGCAGAATATTTTTATAAAATCCCAGGCCAGGAAAATCACCTTCATGTTTTTATGTGTTTTATCCTCAGCTACTTTGACACAAAGGCATCTGCTGTGATGCTTACACCTTTGATAAAGTCTTGCGTGTGTCAGCTTCCTTTTTATAGATACAAAAATATGTAAATGTACTGATCTGAGTTATAATATTTCTGGCTGTCAAAATTTCCCAGATTCAAATTGAATTGAATCGAATTAAGTAGAATCGTGGATCAAATCGATTCGGGACCTTGTGAATCGGAATTGAATCGATTCTAGAAATCAGTGACGATACCCAGCCCTAATCACCAGCTATCTCCCGTCTTTTATTATGACAAAAGCCTCCATAAGAAATAAATGAAAAACAATCAGAATGTGAGTCAGATGTATGAGTGAGTGGCTCCTGACCAGTGTGCATACCTGGGATGGCGTACAGAGCCCTGCTGTCATCGTGGTTGGCCAGAAACGTCACTGCCTCCGTCTGGGACCTCTGAGACTGTCACAGCGCACAGACCAACAGTTACATACCTGCAGACCTCAACACTAATAAATACCTACAGTTTGAGTCCACCACAGTGGAGGGTTTGTCACCTAGCAACATTTCCACCCACTGCACTGCCTGAGATCACACAGACTGTGTCCACAATTGAGCTCAAAACAGTGGTTGACGCTCTGAATAACTACATGATCTCAGTACAAGCACAAGTTATACTTACTATATGAGGGCAGTCTCTGGTGTCAATGAGGACTTGGTAGTAAGTGTGAGTCTTCCCCTTCACCTCCTTGGAGCCGTGGGCCCCTGGGGGCTCAGGTTTGCTGCAGGAAGAAGCACTACAAAATCAGTACACAACACACAAAACAACCACGCAGAAAGTCAAGCTGAGATGGGCATTTTAGCCCAGACCACCCTACCTGTCAGACATGGGAGGGGTGATGTCTCGATCATAGAGGCGGGCGTGCCATGGAAACAAGACGATGCCTCTGTAGCCAAACACGCTGTGGAGAAACAGCTAGGGGAGAGCCCGACAACAACAACGACGAGATAAGGCTTTCAGAAATTATAGATGTAGGACGCTCAATACACACAATGTTGTATGGGATTACAGTCACTAGAAGAGATGATGCAAACAGGTTATATGGACAACACTGAGTTACATAAACTGTTTCATAGGCCTGTTCTCTCTCACTCACTGTTCTGGCGTCGTTGATCATGTATAACTATAGACAGTAATGCTGAACACTGGAGCAGAGCTGTTTCTATCCTCTCCACACTGTTGCTTTGTTCTGCACTACTTAAGATCCATCATACAGTGCCAAGAGTAGGGAATTAAAGTCTGACCACTAAAGTAATAAGATTAAAGAACAAAGAAAGAAAGTCATGCAAGGGAGACACACACACACGCGGTAGTCAAAGGGCATTTCTTATTCATCTCTGGGAGTTATGTTAACTAAGCAGTTCCACATGCAGCTTCCCTGGGCAGGCTTCTAAAGTATATTCTGCCCCCAATTTTAATATTTTTTTTGTAATATTCTCATATGGAACTTATTTTTTTGGTCCAGAGCCTCTTCCCACTCTCAAACTCCAAGTGCACTGCTTTGGAGGTCTGCTGTGACCTGCAGCAGGCAGAGAACTGCTTCATGAGCCACTAGCCCAAACTCACCAAGGCTACAGAGTAATCTAACTCTGTAACACTGTAATGGTCCGTGTGCAGTAGAAGGGCCTATGAAATTTATGTTAGTCATCTGTCTAATACAAGAGAAAGAACAAGAGCTAAACCAGATCATCAGCTAAACCAGATCATCAGCTTCGGTATAAGCATGAATAAAGTGTGAAGGTCTTACCTGTCCGGTTTCATATTTGCCGTGCTGCTTCACAGCCTCAAACACTCCCACAGTCTCTAGAATCTTCCCCTCAGGCCTGTTCCTGCCAAAAACAGGCAACATCATTACACTCTGAATCTGTGTGGGTCTGCATGCTACACAAAAATTGAACCAACAAATCATGTATGGGACAGCACACCGGGTCGGGAAATTCCATAGATGCAACGACAGCAATTTGGAATTTGCCATCCTATGGAAAAAATATGCATTAAGCCCTATAGGAAGACAGGTCCTGCAGACTCTTCAGCCCTGATCTCAATCACAGTTTGATAATATTGTTAACACTTGACCGTTGAGGTGTTTTGTTCAAATACAGTTGGTCTCAAACTCCATGCCCCCATCATTATTTCAGAACAAAACAAACAATACGTGTTGGCACCGATAACAACAGCTGGTCACTTCATATAAATAACACTCTTATTCTGTGCTTCCTGCAAAGCTAATCTTCACAACAGAAATGAAGAGCAGGGATTAATGAGGTGGATATATGGACGGGGAGATTTAATATTACACACCAAGTTGGACAAGTTGTATTGCACAAGAATAATCACAAGGTAAGCTGCTTTTATTAGAAATATGGTTACAAAACAACGAACATGCAGATTCTGAATGAATACCTCTGGGTAAGATCGGGAGGACAATACTGTACTCAGTTCTGATGGGTGGCCATCTCAACTTTGCTTGAAAGACAAACCAAGTTCAGATGCAATCCAGGCAGAAATGTCAATCATGACGAGAGAGGGCTGAAAATTGAGTCAACGTGGAAGTGCCAAAAACTGCAGGGGGTATAATGGCCACTCAGTGCAATACGAACCTGCGAAACTGTAACCACTTGGTGACAATGTTTTATCAAAACAGGTTAGGGTTGTTGTCCCACTAATAAGAAACAAGAGAGTGCAGTATTTGCCCCGAGGTCAGGGTGGTGCAGTCTCTGTGCTGCTGGGATAGCCTCCAGCCCAAAGACTTTAGAATATGGATGAACACTTTAAAGATGTCAAATGATGAGAACAAGAATGAGCCTATGCAAACATGCACAACTGGCCTAAGTTACTCTTTAACCCCTCTGGGCTCCTCTTCACTTTCTACTTGTGCAGCAATCTGAGACAAGTCGATACACTGTCCACAGATAATCGCCAGTCTAAATTTAGCCACACTGCTACAAACTCTGGACCCAGCCTCAGCCAACAGCTAGCCCTTGTCAACAACACGCCTTGCCAAGAACAAACTATCCATGTCACTATCCATCCATTTGGGTTGGGGATTTGTGCCATTGAGCAGTCAACATATCACAGAAAAGCTTGGTAAAAATATAAAAATATCAGTATGTCATCAGATATCATTACACAAGGAAAAGGTTGCATAAACAAATCTTAACGATACAAGAGTGTGCTGATTCACCGCTGCTATTCCAACCAGCGTGTGGGCACTCACCCACCTGTCCACCCACCTTTACTCTCTCTCACAGAACAGATAAATCAAGCACACTCTGCCTCTTTCTGTCCACACCTGCAATCTTTGGGCTTTCACTGGTGACCATTGAGGACGTGAAACCAAAGCTGAGAAATCAATAATGAGCTAACCATTTCACTGTCCACACAACTAATTAATAAACATTAAGAATATCTAGAAAAAGACTGAAAGCCAGAGCTACAGTACAATAAAAGCATGAGCAGTAAGCAAAGTTAAAATCTTCACTACTCCTTGGGAGCTTTACTACGGTCTTTTCTTACAGTAGGTTGTGTTTCATCTTCCTCCTTCAGCTGACACAACTGTACTTTCTTGTCTGCTGGCTCTTTTCTATTGTCTCCATTGCGGCTCTGTTCCTTGCACTTCCCAGTTTACAGAGCAGTTCCATTATAAATTTGAGCTACAGATACATACTGATCCAGTTAATCTGAAACTTTAATTTTGCTGTTGCTTCTACTAGAGATGACACGTTAACCTGTTTAACATCAATTTCACTGGCACGCCTGTTTACACACGTCCTTTCAGCATTTTTTTCCTGAGCACAAACAATGTCAGTTCATATATATTTATATTTTTAACCAGCTAGTCCATGCCTGGATTCCTTCCAAGCACACATCTCTGATTCCTGCCTGTGTTTGCTACTGAGTCTTCCTGATACATCCCAGTCTTGCAGAGACAGGGAAAGATTGCAGAGTGCTTGGATGTCAGCTCACGGCTCTTCTTGCCAGTCTTACTGTACACATTAGATCACTGAAGTCATGTATAAATTTACAATATTATACAAGCTTTACAGTTAATACTTGCAAGCCTGTACTGAATTTTAAGGCCTGATAATGACCCGGGGAATTATATGCCCAATTTTAAAATTAAGAATAACTAGATTAAGTGTTAATCTTAAAGAAATACTGCTTTTGTGGTTGCTGCAATGCTGTCGGTGGTTAATACAACTCCATTTTTAGTTTCAGTATATAATATTTGGTACAAGCCTGTCAGCAGTAAGACAATTAACTTTATTTACACCAAGGTAATTCTCCCATTACCAGGTCTGACTGTATAAGATCAGTCCACCAATCATCAACGATTAAGTATTGGGTTGATTTAAGTCCTAAATAACAGGAGAGGCAAATATTAACACACAAAACTGAGATACTGACAGGGAGCCAACAGGTGTCTGAATGATGTTAATAAGACAGTGCCTCTGTGCAGCCTGCAAACTGCAGCCTGTGCAGGACCAAATGTTTTAAGGGTCTCTCAGTTGTTCTCTTCACTAAAATGACAGTGCCAGCATTAATAATAAGGAAATAATACAATACACTATCAGGATAACGCAGATATTGCTGAATAACTTTTCAAAGCCTATATTTGTGCTACTAAATTCTTTCAAAACTGCCAATCCACTGAAGAAGAATCTTCCCAAATGTTTACTGTGTAGTTAAACATGTACTGAATTGACGCCATAGGTTGGAAGCAGTAACAACATCAAGTGCAGCTCAACTAATGCTGGCAAGCTACTTAACAGCCAATATCTGTGATTTCTTCATTTCTTGCTGGTAAATCCTCCTCTTTCAGATGGACTCTAAAGTAGGGCTGGGCAATATAAGGAAAATCTAAAATCACAATATTTTTTTGGCTACATCACCATATATACACAGTGATATGTTTAACCTCCAAAATCCATATAGAGCCTAAAATTGCACTGGTATACGCATTCAAATCGACCATTCAATGTTCTTTTTTTCCCTTCTTTGAATACAAAAAACCTGAATGAAATGAAAGGTTTTATTTCAACTACTTTTTAACCATTAGTTCTACACAGAGATTTTTCACAAATGACTACAGTCACAGTAAGTCTCTCTGTGGTCAACAGTAGACCTTTAACAAAATATCATAGCAACAAAAAAGGACATCAAGCAATAATTCACAAGACAATATAAAACAACCGAAATGAAAAGGGTGCTTTTTATGCTTATGACGTATAAAATCTATACAATAAAAAATGTGATGACCTCAAATTACAGAAACAAAAGTCTAGATAGTGACTACAAAAAGGACTGACCAAGAACAGTCACAGGAAATCACTAGGGGTGCAACGATACACAAAATTCACGGTTTGGTTCGATACTTTGGTGTCACGGTTCGATAGTTTTTCGATACAAAATAAAATGTTCATGCCTTTTTAATTTGTCATTTATTAAAATTATAAATATATATTTTAACTCAAAAGTACAGTTTTTAAATTTAACCCTAACCCTTGTGCGTGTTTTTTATTTTGACAGCGAATGCGCACCTGCGGACCACTTATGTGCACCCCTGGTTATTTAGCTCATCATATCGCAGCCACAGAAATTATTTTGGTCATGAAACCATAAAGCTGCACTTTCTTTTTGCCTTATAGTCTGATGTGTCATAACTTTTCCGTTTTGCGGTAAGCTTTTCTTTGGCTGTCACTTCTTCACCCTGACCTGTCTTATTTGGCTCAGCAGAACTAAAATATATATCCTGCTGCTTTTACACACGCACTCACATAAGCTCAGCGATTCTCTGTGCGATCAACCTCTCACATGTTTAAGCTGCGGGAGATTTCACTTGTCATGTTTGCGTAGTAAGCTAACGATTGATAAGACGATGTCAGAGGAATTGGTGCACAAATTATCATCACTCACCAATCAGTACTGTCGCTCTCTATACACAGTTCACGCGATTGCAAAATGAAAGCAAAAAAACAAGTGCAAATTCAAATGCGATTTCAATATGTCACATATTGACAGTGGCTCACCGATGCCAATGACATAATTACCCAGCTACATTTCCGAAAGAATGCAAAAGCATTGACATATATTTTTCCTTCCTACAATAGCCGGACAGGCAGGGCAGAGATAGATTTTGGTAGCCCGACTGGAAAAATCGCTAGCCCCAGGACGTCGGGCTAGCGATATTGCAAGCCCTGTATCTGATTGAGGAATCACTCATCTTTGGAAAAGAGTTTATTACAGAGAAATGGCTCTTTCCAAAATAAAAGCTATACTATCCGCTTCTTCTGGGCTATATTCTCAGCAGCATATTAAACATATCAGGTCCCCATAAGGAGAATCCTGTGCTAACGGCTGTCTAAATGACTCAGGTAAAGTTTGTAGCATGCATGCTTGTTGTTTTTGTCTTTGCACTAGGATGATGTCGGCGTAAATGTGCAGTCATATTCGTTGTGTTCCCACTAGTGCTTTCAGGTTAACCCCGTTAAAATGCCCTTAACGTCACAACACGGCAAATCTCCGTTAACGAGCTAGCCCTGATAGCCCCGTGCATGGGGCTAGACGGCCAACACGTTAACGAGCTAACTGCGCTAACACACTAGCTCCCACCCATGTAATTGAGCATTGCGTGGCACATCCAACATACTGTTTTACTTTAGTCCATGACGCGCTTACCTTCAGGGTCATACGTCACATGAAAACCAAAATAATTCCAAACGCCAGATCTGAATGAGGGTGGGGGAGGTCCATGTTACAAGGAGAGCTTAACTTCTGTCTCGCTAGCTTGCCCTGCGCTCTTCCTTCTGACTATGCTGTCTGTGTGGAGCGCTCAGTGGATCTGCGCTTGACAGTGCAGCCTAGGCGGAGTAGTCGAACGCAGATTCACTGAGCGCTCCACACAGACAGCATCGTCAGAAGGAAAGTTGATAAAATAAATTACAAATGTTGTATTGTTCGATACATATGCGTACCGAACCGAAAGCACTGTATCGAACGGTTCAATATCGATACGAATATCGTTGCACCCCTAGAAATCACAGCTGGTTTATTTAACATTTTATTTGCAGTATTTTCCTATCTGGTAAAATATAAACATGCATGTTCAGTGCAGTGTGCCAGGTAGAAAAGAAGGGGGAGATTAAAGATGCATTCGCAGCGTGTGGGAGAAAAAAAACATTTCAGCGAATTACATGCAGATAGCTTATTAATGCTATTGCAATTGATACCCGATGGTTACAATAAAGACATTTCAACTATTGTACATGGAAAAACTCGAGGTACCCATGGGTCGCCACAGCAGATTATCTGCCTCCATCTCACCATATCCCAGCATTCTCCTCTGTCACACCATGTTCTCTTTCACTCACTACATCCATGAATCTTTTATGTGTTATTCAACTTTTCTTCCTGCCTGGCAGCTCCATATTCAATGTGCTTTAGCCAGTTAATCAGCTTTCTCTCTCTTATGCACATGTTCAAACATCTCAGCCTCACCTTTCTAGCTTTGCCTCCAACCTGCTCAAACTGAGCTGTCCCCCTGAGGTCTTCGTCCTGGTCACTCCAAATGAAAATCTTACCATCTTCAGCTCTGCCAAATGTGTTTATGTTAGTGCCACCATCTCCAAACTATACATCACAGCAGGTCTCGGTTACTACCATGTAATCCTTCCCCTTTTTTGGACAGCTGGACCCATGTATTTTAAAACATCTCCCTTTACTACCTCTGCTGCCTGCATCACTCTTACACCTGCCTCCTGCTTATTCACACACATGCATTCTGTCTTGCTTCTATTAACTTTCATGTCTCTTCTTTCCAGAGCATACCTCCACCTCTCCAGGCTCTCTACCACCTGCTCCTACCTACTCTCACTACAGATCACACCTCGCTTTCTAATGTGTTGTCTGCAAACATGGCACGGAGACTCCTGCCTGACCTCAACTATCAGCCTGTCATCATCACTGCAAATAAGGAGCCCAGATCTGATCTCAGTTGTAAATCTCACCTTTTACTCCAACCACACACCTCAGCACTGTCTGGCTTGCCCTCATACATGTCCTGCACCACCCTTCTATACTTCTAACACTCCTGACGTCCACATGCAGTACTACAGTTCCTCTCTTAGCACCCAATCACGTCTTCTCCGATCCACAAAGACACAGTGAAGCGCCTTATAAACTTCTCTATACTTCTCCATCAACACTCTTAAAGCAAACATCAAATCTGTAGTGCTCTGAAGCCACACTGCTGCTCACTGATCACCACCTCTCTTTATAACCTAACTTCAAAAACTGCTTCATATATCTTTATGGTATGGCTCATCAGCTTTCTTCCTCTGTAGTTACAACAGCTCTGCACATCACCCTTGCTCTGAGGCCCAATTCATTTGCACATCGGACTCACTATGCAGGTATCATCTACCTACAGGCAGCTGTCCACTTAATAGCAGCATGGCCAGTGTCTTTAACTAACGGTGCCATTTTGAAGAGCTCGTGCTTAGCTAAAGTCTTTAGCATGCTAGCTCTGGCATATTAGGACAGTTGAGGATTCTTACCGTGACGACATAAACCTCCTCTGCTGAACACCGTCAGGCAGGCCGCAAGCTCGGCATAGTAACCGCGGTCTGTATGCCTCGAACCCGCAGCTGGTGTCAACGACACTCAGTATTCTGTGAGCATGCTTCTTGTTGTATTTACTGACACTACTCAACAACCCTCGACGTAATGCACTAGCCGCCATCTTTCCAATACTAGCACAGTCACACACGTATTATATCGTTTGTCCTCCAGCGCTGAGAGCCAATCATAGCTGAGCTGCCTTCATGGAACGACTGTAATAACAGAACCAAACGCTTAACGTTCAGTAACCTTCTTTTAATTATTTTCGTTTACAACAAATATGACCTTCATTGTAGTCTGAAAATAAAAGTTTAACACTCCTTTATTTTCATTCCACCATTTCATTGGTTAAAATGCTGATTGCGCACCGGTAGTTTGGGACAATTTAGTGTTGGAAAGTTGTGTCCCATCAAAAGTACTGTTGCTTAAATTTGTGTCAAAGCTTAGTAATGCAAAAGCGGTAAGTTCTACGAGTTTATGATGAGTCCTTTAAGGCCCCAAAAGGTAAGGTGTCATGTCGTGAGAAACGTTTAAGTTAAAAATGAAACAAATCATTATTATAAACTTGGCGTCTTGGCGTTTTCACAATAATATATATGACTGATGTTTTACAAAAAAAAAAGGAAAAAAAACGTAAATAAAACGTCAGGAAGATGGTCACGTGAGCGATTACGTCAGCCTGTCACAAGACAAGCAATATGGCTGCGTACCAGGGTTTTTATTTGTTTTTAGCAGATGCTGGGTTTCGTTTTTAAACGGTACATTTCAGTAGATATAAAGTAAAGCCCGTGTTTATATTGAGGCCAGGTTTGACAGAAAACGTTATTTAAATAGTTGCTTCGAAAAAACTCGTTTAATTTTTGGTGCATCATGGCTTCTGCATTTGTGGTGGGGGATAAATTCAGAAATAAAGTGACACATTTACTGGGAAAGTCGGAGTCAGCTCTTCCTCGAGCATTGGGAGAAGAGCTGGAGGAGGTTCTTGAAAAACCGGAACCAACAATCCTGCCATTCAGTACAGCGAGGAAGATCAAGAAATATCTTCAGGACAATGGTGAAAAAAGAAAAAACTGAATTATGTGTGTGTGTGTGTGTGTGTGTGTGTGTGTGTGTGTGTGTGTGTGTGTGTGTGTGTGTGTGTGTGTGTGTGTGTGTGTGTGTACAATTTCATAACATTTTTTACCGTGCCTGCATTTATCCAGGGCATCCATTCTACCTGCATGAGTTGCTGGAGGATAGCTCGCTTCACCTGCCTGAAATCGTGAAGCCTCCTAGGGTAAGTAAATTCCTGCACGTTTTGTGATGTACACTCATGCGCATCCTTTGCTGTTACACTGTATTCACATGTGAGTGATAGACCATAGGTCTGTAGACCTACTGCAGTGTTAACATGTAGTAATTTCTGCAACTTGGCCCCGTGTAATTAGAGTGTTTTCACAGAAGGCCCAGCCAGTGTAATGAGAAAAACTAAACTGTGACTTCTTCCTCTCACTTCAGAACCCTGAGCTGGTCGCCCGTCTTGAGAAGATTAAAGCTAAACTAGCCAATGAAGAATACAAAAGGATCACAAGAAATGTCAATGCTCAGGTACATTTTTTGTTAATATTAAAAGCATCTTTGCCATTTCAGGGTCGATACACTGGGTGTGCTGTTGAAATGTTTGGATGTTTGTTTGTTTTTCTCATGGTGAGGAGTACAAACCATCCTCGTCCATGCCAGTTCTTAAAACGATGGGATGGTGATGTAATGCAAATAAAAAAATATAGATAGATTGCAAGTTAGAATGTTTATGGATGGCTTCCAAGCTTGAGGTTCATAATGTACATCTGAAGAAGTCTACTTTCTCACTTAACGACATGATAAAAAAAAATGCCAGAACAGAATATTTTGCAAGTCTTATAGAAATTATATAGAAATTTGGGTGTCATATTTGACAGTTCAATGTCGCCAGAGAGTCACTCCAAACAGCTGGTTCTGAACTGTTTTTATCATCTAAGAAACATGTCTAAACTCAGACTACTGGTGTCAAAGGCAGAACTTGAGATGATTATTCATGTTTCTATTTCTTCTCATTTGAATTGTATTAACGGTCTTTTTTACTTGTTTCAACAAATCAGCTTTGGATGGCCTTCAGACTTTACAGAATTCTGCGGCAAGACTTTTAACTGGCACTAAGAAGAGGTCACATATTACTCTAGTTTTGGCTTCTCTTCATTGGTTGCCAGTAAACTTTAGGTTTCATTTTAAAATTTTAGTTTTAACTTTTAGAGCTCTACATGGTGAAGCTCCCCAGTATATCTCTGACCTGTTGAAACCTCATGCATCTTCCCAAGCACTTAGGTCTTCAGGTCAGAAGTTACTATTGGTCCACGTACTAGTTTCAAAACACGTGGGGATTGGGCTTTTCAGGTACCAAGGCTGTGGAATTCTCTTCCGTTGTCTTAACCCTGTCTTTTAAAATGGCCTAAATGGTAAATGGCCTGTATTTATATAGCGCTTTTCTAGTCCCTAAGGACCCCAAAGCGCTTTACATATCCAGTCATCCACCCATTCACGCACACATTCACACACTGGTGATGGCAAGCTACATTGTAGCCACAGCCACCCTGGGGCGCACTGACAGAGGCGAGGCTGCCGGACACTGGCGCCACCAGGCCCTCTGACCACCACCAGTAGGCAACAGGTGAAGTGTCTTGCCCAAGGACACAACGACCGAGACTGTCCAAGCTGGGGCTCGAACCGGCAACCTTCCCATTACAAGGCGAACTCCCAACTCTTGAGCCACGATTTAAATTGTTCTCATTCATTTTTTTAAAATTATGCATTTTTCCAAAGACAGAGAAAATGTGCTCATTTTTTCCAAAGTGCTGAGTTTGATTGTGGGGTTCACACACAAGTTATATTTTGAAAATATTTAACAGTTTTCTTTTTTTGTTTGATTTTCCAGGAAATCAACCGCCATGGCGTGCTGTCAGATTTCGGACAGCAGGGTGAGTGTACTGTTGAGCATCTCATTATAAAGGCTGGATTGTGCATCCTTAGCTTATGTACCTTCTCTCTCTGCAGTGCGGTCAGTCAAAGCAGTTGTGGTCACCATATTCAACTTCCTGGTTACAATAGTTGCTGCTTTTGCCTGTTCCTACATGGGCAGTCAGTACTTGTTCACTGAGACTACGGCGGTAAGAGAAGCGGTCCTGCTGCTGTCCGTCCCATTATAAAACTTCTCTGTATTTTGTGACGTTCTTGTTTTGCTTTACTGAAATTGTTTCCAACATTTGTTTTGCAGCGGGTGATCTCAGCGGTGATCGCCGCATCAGTAGTTGGGCTTGCTGAGCTGTATGTCCTGGTCCGGACCATGGAGGGAGACCTAGGGGAACCATAGCAGCTGTTACCTTTGGAATCAACACCTTGTAGGCAGGAGTCTGTAAGGCCTCTGGCAGCCACAGCCAAGCCCGTGGTTCAGAGCAGAACGCTCACTCTGAAACCTCTGTGGTCTTTCTTTCTTTTTGAATTGTTTCAGGAATTATTGATGAAAAAATAAAACGTCCTGAGAATTTCTAAATAGAAATGGTTCCAAGCTCCAAAGTATTTGTTCTTTGACATTCTGCATCCCTTTCTAGTGAAATGAAAATACTCAAAATACTTCGTATTTATTTCCCAGATTTTTGTTTTTACTCTAAAACTACAGCGTAGTTTTTTCCTCTCTGCTGTGTAAAATGAATGATGAGGTTCTTTTCTGCTCTGAGATGAAATCATATTTCATATGATTTTTATCAAATAAATCATCTAAAACAGTCCATTCATCTCAGATGTCCATTTGTGGATTTTCTGCCTGTTGCTGTTGGTAGATCACAACCAAAGGGGGGAGCACAGGGAAGACAAAAGAGCAGCTTGAGGTGGCAACGGATGACAACCCTTAAAAAAATTTAGTTTAGATCATGCAGTCCAGTAACAAATAACAATAAATGTCCCAAAGCATTTTAAGAGGGCTGCCAAGTGGGGAGATTTGCATCTTGGACACCTGCACGCATTAAATGTGGTATTAGCTTGATGAAAACATTGATACTCAAAGTTCTTAAAACCTGCAATGTTGGAGGGGTCTATAGCCTATTTCACATGGTGTAGGCCAAATCGTATGCTTTGGACAAGTTGTCGGTACCATGAAGTCTTCGTTGCACTTACAACTTTTCAGATATATAACCACCTTTAGCTCTTTATTATTTCATCTATGAAAACTTGGGCAGCACAAAAGTGATGTGACCCAACAGATGAACATTGTCTCCTGACACTGAGAGAGTCATATTTTCCAGTACGTCAAAACCAGTCAACAAGCTTAATATATTTGGCAGATCCAATGCATATACAGAGAAAACTAACCAACAATGATAAATGCAAGTTTTTTTTTAAACAATCAAAAGAAGCTAGCATACAGACTTTAAGTCATTTGGCTTATTGTTTTGCCACGAGGATGTCCTTGTGTTGACTTTTCTGGAAAAGTCACCATCTGTGGCCAGTAATAATGGTCAGTCATAATGTTTACTGGACGGTTTCCACCTGACAGATGTGCTAATAATAATCTCCTGATCTGTGCTTACTATATCTGGTTTGAAGTGAAATATCAAGCCGAACAACACGTAAACAACCGATTACTGTCCAGTACAGTAGCTGTGCTTTAAGATCATCATGCTGAGAACAACAACACCATGTATCCTACAACACAGAAGATCCTTTTTTACTGATCCCCTCTCCAGATAAGGTTTCATAGTTCTGTAAATTATGCCCCCCCCCCGTCAAGTTCTGTCATATCAGTGGAAGGATTAAAAGATGTGACTGCATCCTGGAATACCAAAAAAAAAGTCTCTTCCTAAGATCTGAGATTTGACACCAGGATTAAAGGTTTATTGAAAGATTATTTGGTATTAAAAATGATTATGATATGCAGAGATCTCTGTCCAGCTCTGGACAAACAGTGGGCACTCCCGTCTGTCATATTTGCCTCTGTATTATGCCTCTAATGTAATATTTCAAAACTTAAATCCAGGTCAAATTACAGAGGCGGTAAGCTGATAGACCCAGAGCTCTGACTTTAATTTAGTTCTTATTTTGCTTTCATTTTTCCCCTTCCCCTTAGGCCATGTAAACCCTGTGATACTTACAGCACAAAGAGATATGATAAAAATATATTTTGATTTAGAAAATAATTATTCCTGTCGTGGTATCCTACCACAAGGAATCATTTTAATCTGGATGTTTTGAAAAATAATACTCTTGGGGTCACAGCATTAAACATGTCCTGGTTCAGCAGGAGAACAGGAGCTGGCTTCTGTGAGGAGAAACCATGATATATACAGCAGTATCTCTCTGATGGAGAGATCTCTCAGATCTGACCATAGGTTATACAACTTCTGACATTAATACATTTTCAAAATTTCATGAGCTTTGTGTATTTGGCTCTTTAAAAAAATGTTAATAAGAACAAGTTTCATTAAAAATGCCGATAGGACATCAACATACCCTGTGGGTAAAGGGCAAATTGTGTGATTCAAGTAGTTTTTTGGTTTTGTTTTTTTTTTGGGGGGGGGGGGGGGGGCTTGAAGATTGTGCTTGAACTAAATACATTACAAAAGATACTGCTTTGGCTGATGACTTTATACTGTCTATGACACCACTGACAAAGATATGAAACAGTTAATAACAACTATCAGTTTCAAGTAGTTAGCCAAAAGTAGCTCAAATAACAAAAAGTACAGATGCTAAAACTACTTGATAAATGTCTAGAAAAAGGATATAAGCTAAAAGCTATGGTGAGCTGCTAAAACTAATGGGTAAATGTTAAAATCACTTAGTTGGAATTAGGTAACTATTAGCCAAAATACCCTAATAGCTAATTGTTAGAGAATTGATATTACCTAAAGCCATGCTGTCCCCTAAAAGTCCCCTAATTACTGTTAGTAGGCAAACTGTTACTTGGTTAAATAAAACTACATGATAAATCATTAGCTGTAGCATATAATGGTTGAAAAGGATATAATAAGTGACTTGATTATAAAAACTTGACTTACTTAAAAACTGACACTTAAATTTAATAAAAAATACTGACAAAAAGTACATGTTACAAGTTTATGAGGCTTCAAGTTTGGGAACTACAGTGGTACAAACTAATGGGAACTTTTTCACTTTAACCTATGATGTTCGCTAAATATTATTTATTTTCAAAACTAGATAAAAAAATGTGGGGTTTTTGGTAATATTAGTACTGTAAAGTAGTTCCAGCCTTGCAAGCTACAATATTAAAACACAACATACAGTTAACAATAATGAATAATAATAATTTCAATGAACTGATATTTTCTGCATATTTTGGTAATAATACCTTTGTATTGCTACTGAACAAAATAAACTACACAACTGAACAGTTATGTGAAAATATGATTTGCGGTTGTATTATTTGATTATACAAAAACATGAAACAAGCTTCATGTTACATATGTTGTATGTGCTTACTTCCAGCTTCACAAAATGCAGTTTATACTATCAGAAATTTTTAAAAACTAACTTAAAAAAAACCATTTTTAATTAATTTGTATTAGATTTTAAAAATAACAGATTCTATTAAAATTAAAAACAAGAACAATTGTTTTTGACAAGTAACAGTAAGATTCAAAACTGTGATCAGTTGCCTCAGTTTATTCCCCAAAATATACAAGACATAATTCAAAACATAAAATATACAACTGGACAAATCAGCATCGTAACAATTCTACTCTACTTCACAGTATTACAGCCTTGTCTGAAATTCATCAGCTGTGGTAAAACACAGGACAGATTTTGATACATTCATCAGAATTCAAGAAAATTGGTAACAATAGCAGCGTTATAGATCAGGTCTGAGATATATCCCATCGAGGTCTGTGGTCCCAGTTGTGGGTGATGATGGTGGTGGTTCTGTCCCTGACCTTGAGAGATTTCCCAGTACATTGGCTGAGGGTGGGAAGGGACAACCTGATCTACTGAGGCATGACCGCCAGTTCCAGTGCCTCCGCTGCACAGTGCCTGATGAGGTCCAGATGGAGCCAAGCTCCGGGACTTGAAGTTCCTGAAGGCCTGATAGGAGCATGTAGATGCAGCGTGGTGAGGCTGCCTGGTGATGGACTGATGAAACGAACCAGGAATGAAACCAGTGAGTGAGGCTCCTAAGTGCTGTTGCTGCTGCCCGTGGTACTCCTCTTCCCAGAGACGAGACTCTGAGGGTTTGGAGCAGCTACGAGTGGACTGCTGATGGAGGGATGAGGAACATGGTGGCGATGACATGGGGTTACTGTAGATTTGCATCCAATCTGAGTAAATCTGCGGGACCTCCTCACAGGAGTGGTTCTGTTCTGGCCTGAACATGTCTGCCAGAGTGTTTGAATACGTGGAAGTCGCAGGGCCGGAGGAGGGATCCACAAAACCTCTAACTCCAAGGACAGACTTGGTGGACTTGGAGAGTCTACCGGTCTTAATACTTCTAGCTCTTCTGTTTTGGAACCACACCTGTGGGAAATGGCAAAATTTATAATGAATTAGTCTTACATAGCCAATTTCAGTTTATGCATCCAAATTCTGCTCAGGTTACCATGTTCATCAAAACAAATACTGGGGTTAGATAGATTTTTTGGGTTGTAATTTTCTTGTCTTCGTAAATGGACTGACTCTTATATAAAGCTTTTTTACTCTACTTGAGCACTCAAAGCATCTTAAACAACATGCCACGTTCAGCCATTCACACAAACACTTTTTGTGCACTTAAATGCTTTCTTTCTAATGTTCATAATCCAATAAAGCATTAGAACAATTTGGGATTAGTTCCTAATTTCCTTACATCCTCTCCACACTTTTACCCTCTTTTGTGACTCTGCATACAAGCTCTGCCAGATATTGCAACTAATAATGCTGAAGTATTTAACAGTATTAACAGTAAAGAGTAGAGGAAACTTTATAATGCTGTTTGACATGTTAGCTCCGGTCCTATGCTGGGGTAACATTGAGACTTTGCTAACATGTGACATGGTTAAGCTGTCTCCTGACTTTGATTGGAGTTTTCATGTGTGACAAAAACGTTTATCACACATAAACATTTACTTCATAAAGGAACACAGAACATGGACAGAAATATTTAGAAGGAAAGAAGGCAGATAGATGCTTGGTAAATATAAAAGAAAGAGAAAACGGGTATCACATCATCCTCTGCCTGCCTAAAACAGACTTAACTTCAGGTATGACTATCCTTATATGAGTCATATATATAGTCTATATATAGTCATATGGGCTCATTTGTTATTATTTTAAGTTCTTTAATGATTTTGATCTTTAATTGAGAAAAAGAAGAACAGTATCATTTATAAAGAATAGCTACAAAATATGTACTGAAGATATTTTTTTTGCTGTAGTGGTCCCAATTATTGTCTCCGTGGTCTAAAGGAGACCTATTCTCTGTGGGTTCATCGTGACCAACAACAAATCAGTCAAGATAGTGTAAATTAAATTAAAATAAGTAAATTGTTTCATTACAGCCACTTTAAATAGGCTAGGAGAAACTTGGAGTTTCAGACTGAACATCCGACCAGCAGCCTCACCTGTATCTTGCTCTCAGGCAGGTGTGTGTGCGCGGCCAGCCTTTCCCGCAGGGTGATGTCCGGGTAGGGGGTCACAGCGAAGGCCTGCTCCAGCTCAGACAGCTGCGCACGGCTGAAGATGGTCCTCTTCCTTTTCCTCTGACCCTCCATCAAACCGATGCCTCTGTCCGGCTCCGGAGAGGATACGGCACTCCCACTGCGGGCATCTTCCAATTACAATGCAAATACCAAGAAAAATGTCAAACAGTTGAAAAAATAATGGTCTATAATAAATAAATAAACAGCCTTTCAGAAAGGGAAATCTTGTTGTGGTGATGGAAAATATCACAACCCATAAACTTGTCAACATTTAGGTTCTTTTGTGTTTGACCGTGGATTGTAATAATAACTATTGTTATCATTATTATATTATAATAATAATTATTATTACACTTATTTATTAACAAGAAATTAAAGAACAAAAAAAATATTTTCGTAATTTAGAAATTATTTACTTTATAGAATACATTTTATTATAGCCTTGAACCTAGGAATATGTGTATCTGTTAAGAATAAAAAAAATTTATAATAATAACTTTCAGATTTATTTTCTCAGCCATCTTTTTGTTTACTTTTATCCTATTAGACTATTTTATTGTAATATACAATATAATTCAACCATTCATTGAGTTTTGTTGGGAAAAGCTGATTCTATGAAGCAGCCGGTCAGAAAGTCAAAAGTGTTTTTTGCTCTCTGTGACTCACCTTTTGAGTGTTTCTGTTCTCCGAATAATGCCTTGAAATCTGCCAGGTCTTTCTGCTGGTTCTGCTTGAGTAAAGAGAAGTCTGAGTCCATGAACAGAGCCATAACTCCACACACACACAAACACACCTCTGCCGCTCGCCTTCACCGATGCTGAGAGTTGAGGAGGAGTCAGGAGCTTCTTATACCGCGTTCAGATCAGATGGGACACCCAGCCCTCTGCATCCAGTAAATCTCCAATTACTTACTGACTTGTTTTCCTGCCTCTTTAAGTCTTCCGGACCTGCTCAGGCACCATTTATAGAGTCATTTTTATAGGTCCTGAGAGAAGATTTCCGAAATGAGCCTACATTTATTTATTTTTTTCTCAGCCAAATGTCATCATGATACAGATCATATATTCTTTAAAGTCCATCTTGCAGAAACACACACACACACACACACACACACACACACACATACATACATACATATATATATATATATATATATATATATATATATATATATATATATATATATATATATATCGTACATTGAATTATTCTGCATTTTTTCCAAGTAGGTCGTTAGACTATTTAATCTGCTGCAGTCTTTATGACGTCCTTCTCAAGCTAACAGCTAATGTGATAAATGTCACCAGTAAACAGTGTGGCTGTACTTGCAGAGTACATCTGAACACTGAAATAAACTACTGAGCACACACAGAAAATAAAGTACCTTATTGAACTAAAATATATCTCTGCCCTGAGACCTAGTGGAACTCAAATAGGTTTAATCTGTTTTTGCTCACTAAAAGCGCTCACCACCTGCAACAGTCACACTCCTCCAAAAATGCTGTTTATGTGGCTTATAAAGATAATGTATTATTATAAAAAAAAATTCTCAAGAGGCCTGCTGCAACTAGACACATGTTTGACATAAAATAACTCACCTGCTTCTTCAGATATCAGTGAGGCTGGTTCAGTGTCAGGTGTGTGGGTGTGGGGTGATATGAGTGGGACAGCCAAGCCTGAGCCAGAGGTTTGGTCTGTTGGTTCTTGCAGCAAGCCGGCAGATATGTGATTTAGTATACATATGCACAGAAGGTCTGCCTGCACCAATTACTTGTTGACTAAAGTATAAAAAAATAATAAAAATAATAAAATAAGAAATGAAGTAAGCTAACCAACACTAGGAAAGTCAAGCAGCTTCTTTCATGTACAAGTATATTTCCACCTGTCTCTTTTCCTACCGCTCCAAAGTTCAGCGTCAGCGCGTGCACCTGGACTAAACCAAATCACGAAATAAGGACGGGGGAGGTGGGGTCAGAGGTTGACTGGATTTACTCTTTGTTTCGAAAAACAAAACAAAACCACTATTAGGAAACAAACACCTTTGAAGCAAACCGCATTTATGGTCATGTATGGAAGCCATATTGATGGGCTAATAATTTTTGTTAAAAAATAAAAAAATAAAAAAAAGTTACGGGCGCTTAGAATCCGTAATTTTTCTCCCCCTGACGGCGCCCATGGGAAATATTTATTTGAATTTTAAATCCTTCGTAGGGAGTTTGGTTATGTAAGAAAAATAATGAACTTTTCACTTTAGCCCTATTTCTGAGAGTGTACAGGTGTTAGGGTCATGTTTTTGTTTAAAGCTTGAGAACACAATATATGTAGATGCCTTTCCATTACACAGTTTGGTGTCAACACTAGTTGGACACTGGAAAGACAATAATGGAAAAATAATCTTATTATTCAGTCTTTTTCAGTAACTTGTGCTGATTTTGTTCAACCAGGTCAAGAAAAGCAGGAATCCCAACTATCCTGGGGTGTCACATAGTAGGTTTTGTCTTCTGTGTCTACCGTTACATTGCTCCTACAGTTCCCATGAGATAATTTACATTCTAGACGTCAGGCACAGTCCACATTATGAGGTTGGATCATGGTTTGTTCATGAGTTGGGCATCCCTTTGTGTTTTACACTTGCTTTTTCTCACTTGCTGTTTTTTCTTTCTTTTCTTTTTTTTTTCTTGCTTAATACTTATACTTAATCTTCTACTCAATTGTCAGGCTTAAAAACTACTTGGTTAGGTTTTGAAGAAGATCATGGTCATAACAACAAACCTGACCTGCCAGCTGTTATAATTTAGGAGAGACAGAAGCACAGCACTATGGCTTTCTGACCAAGTAACACTGAAAGTCTATCCAGTTAACTGGAACTTCCAAGCAGAATCGATCTTTAGGTAATATATTTGAGCTTGTACGATGTGGAGGAACCTAAGATCATATCATACACATGGTATAAAATCTCCACACATTGCAGATGGTCTGGAAACCGATGCTGTCCAGCTGCAATCAGCTCCAACAACTGGAAGAGACACTTAAAAACCACACAGACCCAAACAATCACACAACTTGATGGATTTACAAAAGCCTGATCACATGATCAACTATTTGCAATTGTTATGTTTTATGTTACTCTTTCATTGTAACTTGAGTGACCATAATATGTGGACTGTCCCACCAGGGGAGAGAAAACTTTAGACTTACTGTATGCTAACGTCAAGGATGCATACAGCTCCTCCTCCCTCCCCCCACTTGGTAGGTCAGATCATAACCTGATTCACCTCACCCCCCGCTATGTGCCAATTGTGAGGAGGGAACCTGTGACCACCAGGACTGTTAGGAGGTGGTCAGAGGAGGCAATAGCAGAACTACAGGGCTGTTTCGAGGTGACCGACTGGGAAACACTCTGTGAGCCTCACGCCGAGGACATCAATGGGCTTACTGAGTGTATCACAGACTACATAACTTTCTGCACCGACTCCATTGTTCCAGCTCAGACTGTTCATTGTTACCCAAATAACAAGCCGTGGGTGACTAAGGACATCAAAGCCCTCCTCAACAACAAGAAGAGGGCTTTCAGAGGGGGCAACAAAGAGGAGGTGAGGAAGGTCCAGGTGTTACTAAAGGACAAGATCAGAGAGGCTAAGGACAATTACAGGAGGAAGCTGGAGTGGAAACTCCAGCAGAACAGCATGAGAGAGGTGTGGAGGGGCATGAAGACCATCACTGGATTCAGGCCAACCAACAGCAGGGGAGCTGAGGGAGGTGAGAATAGAGCCGACGAGTTGAATCTGTTTTTCAATAGATTCGACACCACAGTGTCTGCTCCCACCCCCACAACCTCACCTGCAGTCAGCCTGGAATCCAGAGCCACACCACTGTGCCAGCCTCTCTCTTCACATGTTGCCTCCTGTGAGATTCCTGACACCCCTCCCCCACCCATCACCTTCACTCAATACCAGGTTGAGATGCAAATGAGGAGACTTCACTCAGGCAAGTCTGCTGGACCAGACGGAGTGAGTCCCCTTGTCCTCAAGGCCTGTGCCCCCCAGCTGTGTGGAGTCTTTCATAAACTGTTTATGGTGAGTCTGAGTCTGCAGAGGGTCCCGGTGATGTGGAAGACATCATGCCTCGTCCCTGTACCAAAGACGCCTCGTCCCAGTGGCCCCCAGGATTACAGGCCCGTGGCACTGACCTCCCACATCATGAAGATCCTGGAAAGGCTCATCCTGGACCAGCTGCGACCCATAGTAAGACCACATCTGGATCCCCTTCAGTTCGCTTATCAGCCTCGTCTCGGAACAGAGGACGCCATCATCTACCTGCTCAATCGTGTCTACACCCATCTGGACCAGCCGGCGAGCACTGTGAGGGTCATGTTTTTTTACTTTTCCAGTGCTTTCAACACCATCAGGCCGACCCTCCTGGGTGATAAGTTAGCAGCGATGCAGGTGGATGCTTCTCTGGTGTCCTGGATTGTTGATTACCTGACAGGAAGACCACAATATGTACGTCTCCCACAGTGTGTGTCTGACAAGGTGATTAGCAACACAGGGGCACCACAGGGGACTGTCCTCTCCCCCTTCCTCTTCACCCTCTACACCACAGACTTCAGCCACTGCACAGAGACCTGCCATCTTCAGAAGTTTTCTGATGACTCTGCGGTGGTTGGATGCAGCAGCAGGGATGATGAGACAGAGTACCGGGCTGTGGTCGACTCCTTTGTCACGTGGTGTGAGCAGAATCATCTGCAGCTCAACGTGGCAAAGACCAAGGAACTGATCGTGGACTTCAGGAAGACCAGGAAACACTTGACCCCTGTTTCAATCCAGGGGGTCAGTGTTGACATTGTGGAGGACTATAAATACCTTGGAGTACACATTGACAATAAACTGGACTGGGCTAAAAACACCACAGCACTTTACAGGAAGGGCCAGAGTCGTCTCTATTTTTTGAGGCGACTGAGGTCCTTCAACATCTGCCAGAAAATGCTGAGGATTTTCTATGAGTCTGTGGTGGCCAGTGCGATCCTCTATGCTGTTGCATGCTGGGGGAGCAGGCTGAGGGTCGCAGATGCCAACAGACTTAATAAACTGATCCGTAAGGCCAGCAATGTTGTGGGGATGGAGCTGGACTCCCTCAAGGTGGTGTCGGAGAGGCGGATGCTGTCCAAGATAAAGACAATGTTGGATAACACCTCCCACCCACTCCATGACATGTTGGTCAGTCACAGGAGCTCGTTCAGTGAGAGACTGAGATTACCGAAAAGCACCACTGAACGACACAGGAAATCATTCCTGCCTGTGGCCATCTCCCTGTACAACGCATCCACTTAACACACTGTTTGCTGCTACAACTACACATGTTTCTTTTCCAAATATTTATTTATAAGTGACTTATGTATGTATGTATGTATATATATGTATATATTGTACTATTCTTAGTTAGCGTATTGTCTGTCTTGTCTTAATGTTGGTTTAAAATGGAGCACTGTAACAAAAAATAATTTCCCCCAGGGATCAATAAAGTATTCTGATTCTGATTCTGATTCTGATAAATTTAGCGTTGCTTAGTTCCCAATGAATCCAGGATAGAAAAAAAACTGCAACATATAAATTTCACTGTTTATTTAAATTCGTTTCACTTGTGTCATAATATAGAAGTAGATATTAAGAAAAAAAACCCAGTTTTCCCAGAGAAGTAAAATTTCTTGATGTTGTTTTCCATATTTCAGCATCATCTAAGTGTCATCCAGCATATGTGGATTGAAAGATTGCTCACCATCCATCCATCCATCCATTCGCTACCGCTTATCCTTTTCAGGGTCGCCGGGGGGTGCTGGAGCCAATCCCAGCTGTCATAGGGCGAGAGGCGGGGTACACCCTGGACAGGTCGCCAGTCTGTCGCAAGGCTAACACACAAGGACAGACAACCATTCATACTCACATTCACTCACAGATTCACACCTAGTGGCAATTTGGATTATCCAATTAACCTATCCCCACAAACTGCATGTCTTTGGACGGTGGGAGGAAGCCGGAGTACCCGGAGGGAACCCACGCAGACACAGGGAGAACATGCAAACTCCACACAGAAAGACCCTGGCCTAATGGTGGAATTGAACTCAGGACCTTCTTGCTGTGTGGCAACAGTGCTAACCACCGTGCCACCGTGCTGCCACCGTGCTGCCAGATTGCTCACCATCATATCAAAATATCATTTTATTTTCTACAACACTGCGTCATATATGCCCTAAACAGTCGGACGTACAGCTTTACGGAATGTGACATTTCTGAGACATACCTCCTCTCCACAGGTGCGCAAGTTGAAATTAATATGGAGGTTAACCTACAAGCATGTGTGACAATAATGAACACAGCAACATTTCTGCTCTCTCTCCAGTATATCTCAGCCATACACACAAATACTCATACACAAAGTAAAAACCTAAATATAAACCACACACACATACACAAAAACTGCTGACCGCTGTGTATGAATCCATCTTCATGATTGTTCATACACAGCATGGATGAAACACTGTCCACTCTGTCAGTGACCCAAGCTGTGAGCACTTCCCCTCTGGGCTGCTTCTCCTGCAGCACAATAGAGGATTGTTTATTTATCCACCACTAGGGGGCGACCTAGTCCTTCCAACGTGCCAGCTCTGTCCACCAGCCCTACATGCAGAGGCCTCTGCCTGACAGCAAACCAGAAATTAGCTGATAGCATGTTGATGTTTTCAAAGAGGTCTTTGAGCGTCACTCGAACTTCCGCAGGTGATTGTAGAGGGACTGCACGTAGGTGAAGACGCACATGGGGTCTGGCTTACGGCCCATGATCATCATATCGTCCACCTCAATCAGCCGGTCACAGCCTGCCTTCGTTCTGGAGGTGGAGATAAAGGAAGACAA